TATATATATATATCACTAATAACTGATTGTTTTTTCTGTCTGAAGGCCTCATACTCTCAATAGCACCAGCGTTTCCAAGGCCTATCAGAGCACCTTCACTGGGGAGCTCAACACACCCTACAGCAAGCAGTTTGTTCACTCCAAGTCCTCCCAGTATCGGCGCCTGAAGACTGAGTGGAAGAACAACGTGTATCTGGCGAGATCTCGCATCCAGGGATTGGGGCTGTATGCGGCGAAGGATCTGGAGAAGCACACCATGGTCATCGAGTACATCGGGACGGTAATTCGCAACGAGGTGGCCAACCGCCGAGAGAAGATCTACGAGTCTCAGGTACTTGGATGTTTCTTTACTTCATGGAATGAAAATGTTATACTTGCTTTTAAATGGATCGGTTGGACAAATATATGACTTGGTTTTTTTTTGTAAATCTTTGTTGATTATGGCAAAAACTGCTAAAATCTGCATCAATAGGCAGTTTATATTTATTGCTACACATCCAGCGGATATATTTGGAGGCCCCAGCCGCTGTGGCTGAGGAAGCATTTGGTCAATAGCTGTTTAAATGGAGCCAAACTGATCTACAGCTTGTCGTTTGCAGCCTGGAGTGGAAATCGATTGTTAGACTTAATATTAAGAAATAAAAGCCTCGATGTGAATTTCCATTATGACCTGAACTCTGATGTTTCCAAAGGTTTGCAGTAATCCTAAATGCAGCATGCTCCAGAGGAAAACCAACCAATGCGTTGTTGCATCTCATATATTCATTTTTACTTTTTTTATGCAGTTTTATTTTTAGAAAGTGTTTGAAAGAGTGAGAGAGAGTGTTGAATTATCCGACTGCTGGATCCGTAAAGCTTTGTTTTTTTTGTTTTTTCTTTAGAACCGGGGGATTTACATGTTCCGGATCAACAACGAGCAGGTGATCGATGCTACTCTTACAGGCGGCCCGGCTCGGTGAGTATTTCGCATCTGGCCCCTGCATGGCAGACCCCTTTTTATTTTCTTTCTTAAATGTTTTCTAACCATGTTGTGTTTTGGTGCCTCCTAGCTATGTGAACCATTCCTGTGCCCCAAACTGTGTTGCTGAGGTTGTGACATTTGACAAAGAAGATAAAATCATCATCATTTCCAGCCGCAGGATCCCAAAAGGAGAGGAGGTGAACGACCATTCATTCGCTGAACCCTCTTAGCCAGTCCTTTGTGTATAAACAGCAGCATTTACCTGGTCTCCTTATCTTCATTTCAGCTGACCTACGATTACCAGTTTGATTTTGAGGACGATCAGCATAAGATCCCCTGCCATTGTGGAGCCTGGAATTGCCGAAAGTGGATGAACTAGCCAGGAGAAAGCGAAACGGAGACTGCTACCACAACACTCCTGCGCCAAAGCTTTGAATCCTACATCGCCAGTGCATAAGCTGTCCTGAAAGACACGGAGGAAGTCTATCCTCCGCTATTAAACGATATAAGTGTTGACATCTTGTAGCCAAAGGTCTGAAGAGCATTAATCATTAAAAAAACAAACAACCAATCACTTTACAAAAAAACAGTTTGATGGAAAGGGGGGGTCTAACTCTGATGTCTGGACTGCTGACCCACCTTTTCTTTCACCCTTCTACCCTCAATAAGCTCGCAGCGGCTGGAAAACAATCCTGACCCCCACCGACATCTTTAGACTGGAGCTCAAGCCGAGCTTCGACAAGAAGCCATGTTCAAATACTAAGCGTTAACTAAAGGATGCATTTTCATGTTCGTAGTCGGACCTATCTCCACACCTTTCCCAGGAATCAGCACTTTCCCCCTAAAAACACAGATATTGGCTCGCAAGACAATCTTGAAGTAAGAACTGTACACGATCGCTAGAAGAAGAAAATAAAAAAGATGCTGTTTATCTGCGGCTCCAAGTGGCCCAAGGTGGGTTGGTTCGACACAGTCTACCTCACTGATTTAGCGGGAAATGACTGCTTTGTGTAAAAAAAAAAAAAGAAAAACAGAAAAAAATAACTGTTAGCGGCTACTGTGGATTTACTGTGGGGGGAGGGGGGTGTTTTTAACGGGGCTTAGCCCTCTCGGACAAGCAGGGAATCTAAAAGCAGCAGGTTTGCTCTATCTACTCTATGCTGATGTTGATTTACAATAAGGAGCCGACGCTGTTTTAAACATGGATTATTTATACAGAGGAGTTTATCAGTTTTGATAAGAGATTACATCGAAAGCTTAAAGGGTGTCATCGTCGCCACCAACCCATCTTTGTTTTTCTTTTTTTTTCTAAATGCATCTCAAAATCATGCTGTTAGCTTCGTCAAGCACAATAACATCCACCTTTTTGACTTGTTAAATGATGTAAATGAACTGTTAAATACATACTGGATCCATATTAACCAAGTAGAACCTTTCAGATTTGTTTGTTTTCATGTTGAAGCTCCGGTTGTTTTAAAGGAAGCTGGTGGATGCATGACTACTGTCCCATTTCAGTGCTTTTAATCCCCTACAATAACAATCGTTTTGCACCTCAACCTTAATGAAAACGAACCTTTGAATCATGTCTCTTCCTCTCTTTGGTGTTTAATGGACTGTTGTCTTTTTTTTAATTTTTATTTACTGTAAGTAAGTCTTCCTCTGCCCGAGTACAGCCTGCAGTGTTCCCCTTGCTATAGTGTGAATACTTCTAACCTCCTCCCAGTGCTGGTACTGTCTTATAAGGCTGAACTGGTGGCAGGGAAAGACTTATTGGAAAAAGGGCATTTGCTTTCATTTCTTTTTCTTAAAATAAGATTTTTTAAAAAGTCTTTAAAGGGAGCTTTACTAAAACTCCACCTTCCTATATGACTTTGATCCCTCTTTTCTCCCCCAACCTAAGACCTCATGATTTTAAAAAAATAAAATGCAAAAGTTGTACAAACTGTATATATCGTATATGCATTAGGGGGTAGAGTGACTCTTTATCCAGCCCCTTTGTAATCAATAAAAGCGAAAGTGCTGAAAATGATAAAAAAAAAATACATTAAAAAAATCAA